GTCATCATTTATATGTTGAAAGATCATCAAACGCATCATTAATAACATTTGTAAACGACTAATATAGTGATGTATGATAATTTGATGTGCATTCACCAGATCGCTGCGCACTCCGCCTAAACAAAATTATCTTTCATCCTTTGTAGTTCTCGCCTTATAAACAGACTGAAATTGCCAGTGAAAAAATTATTAATTTTTTTGTCTGTGAACAATTTCCCCTGTGTTACCATTACCTTGATTATTATTGTCACATTTAGAGATTTCAGTTATATTTAGGTTACAAAGTATAGTCGGCCATAGTTAGAGTTTATACAATCGTCTATGATGTATTTGATTTCGGAATAAGGAATTATGTACGGTGCTACAGTTTATTATTTCATAAAGGGACCTATTTTATTAAACATAAATTGTATAAGTGAACAAACAAAAGTATTTTGTCCTGTATTGTAACAATAAATAATTCAATCATTCAATCAATGTTTCAGAATGTCGTTTGACGAGTGTGTATCGGGGTAGCTGTGCTAATACAATAAAATAATACCGCAAAGGAAACTTCGTAATCTATTACCATTATCTATTACTATTATTTTTACAATGACGTGTAAAAATATTTTTGTTTGTTTACAAACTTAATATGCAGTATTCTCAATTTGCTATAGGCATCGGCGGAAACTGGAATAGGGATGTTGAAACTAATGAAAAAAGTATTTTCGAAACGTATATTCTAAAAATCTTAAACCACATTTTTTATATTAAAATGGTTTAAAAAAGTTAAAATGATAACAAGTGACTGGAAACGCCAATCAGGTCCCAGAAATCAGTAAAAGATGAACTAGCGCAAACAGCTAACATCTAAATACATTTTTACTTATAAATAAAAGGTCGCTAAAGTAAATTCGTTTAAAAAAAATTGAACCAGCTACCTTTTTACGTTAAATAGCTATAACATTAAAGGAGTTTTAACAATTTGTCAACATCCCTCTTCTTTTCTGCAAGGGAAACAGATTATACAAATAACAAAAGATGAAGAGGTACCCAAACTCAGCACTACGGACGAACATGCCAGATATGTTTCATCTGTTAGCTATTGTACTGCGTTTACTGGCAAATAGCTCCACCATTATTATTTTCACAAAATACGTTGACTAACAGATACGGGTAATATCCAAAATTATTACTTTATTAATGTCATACTCACATCTACTTCTATCATTGATCTTTTTTAAGTTTAAGTTCTGCGTTAAACATTTATTTTTGCTGCCAACTGTACCTACTGAATGTACCTTAAGCAATAAAATTATTTTATTTACCAACGCATGAGTATTGGAGGCAGTTTATTTATCCCTGTACGAGCTGAATTATACAAAAAATACTTATAAAATATGTTATTACTAGAATTTTGAAACCTGTTCTTTGTTATTTAGCTATGTGGTGGTTTACTGCTGCAGTTTTGTTAAGTACACAATGTTCTTTGTAAATTTGTATATTTTACAAAAGAATAAAAATACGTTACAGTATAGTTTTCACGGAATATCAAATGACCAATGTGAATGACAACAACCTTATCCCGTACCATATACCATACAAAACATATTTAACAACACGATGAAATATTGGTACACATGTTTTTTTATGGTGTTTGAGAGGAGGAAATCTTCAAAAAACACCTGTCAAGAGGTTGTAGACCGGTGGTGTGGGATTCTTACCCACTAAAAACCTCCTCTCTTGTATTGGTACACAGGTAATCTATATCTATATAGGTCTATATTGGTTTAGTATTTTTAAACAAAAGAATTTTGAGGATTGCAGTATTTTCGTTGGTTCTTTTATCAGCTTTAATAAGTACAATTATCCAAATTTAACTTTGAATGTTTGTTAAAACAGATATTTACTTTAAAACTATAGAATTTAGATTACTATTTTAACTTTTATTTGATTTTTGGTAATTGTTGACATATTATTATGTGAATAATTTTATTGGAAATGAAACATTGTAAAAAAATCCCTCCGATGTAAGTCCCAATTTTATCATCGAACGTAACAAGTGGGCACTATATGCCCACTTGTGACCACGATCATACATTTGAAATTGATGTGGGTTTTGACGAAACTACAGTTTGGATCATGCCTGTACTGTATTGAATATGTTGACAGATATATTTGTATTGAATAACGGAATTCACTGCGTGTATCATAATTATCAAGCCATATAATATATATATGTTGGGGGGCGAGTCCGCAGATGATCGGACTCGGTGATATCTACACACGGTGTTGTACATAATATGACAGTTTTTCAGCGTGTGAACAATGTTAGCATTTTAAAATTTTCAAATAAACCACTTTGTGAATAATATTTGTGTTGTTTGAGAGCACGGCAAAGAGAAGGAAAACTTGACACAACCCTTTTTTTTTTTTTTTTAATGTGTGGAAACCCCTTCGGGCCGTCACCCCACCGGTGTTTACGGCGGGGTGGTGTGTCGGAATCGGACCGACTAAAACCACACGGTGTGCCACTCTGCGCCTGTAATAGGAGGGATCCGGGAACTGCTGTTATTAGGACCTCCGGACCCCTCCTAGCGCCTGCCCGCAACGATGCGGGTACCACCTTCAGGTACATTCTCTATTTAGGCGACGTCCGGCACACGCGGACGTCGCGAGTGGAGGCTGTCCTCCCGGGTCCTCTCCGCCGCCTCCTTCTGCGAGATGACGTCTTCGCAGAAGGATGCGACCGCGGTAAAACATCTGTCGCTACCGGCCATGGAGCGTATGACGGCCGGTAGCCAATTACCAGCGTGTGCTGAGCCGAGTCCTCACTGCAATCGCAGTGGTGACAGGCGGGACTCAATTCCCTCCTAGCGACCGAGTGCAGGTACTTCCCGAAGCAGCCATGCCCGGAAAGGACCTGCGTCTGCCGGAAGGAAAGGGTCCCGTGCTGCCGCCCTGCCCACTCGACGATGACCGGCTGGAGCGCCTCCACGGCGTCAAAGCCAGCACGTGGAGCCTCCAGCCGGGACGACCAACGAGCCATCGTGGCTCGGCGAGCGGCCACACGCCACTCGCTTATCTCTTCGGGCGGGGGTCGACTGCCACTATCCGCCCGGAAACCAGCCGTCCGCCGATATACTTCGGCGAGCACTTCCGCCTCCAAGTCCCACGGGGGTGTACCGGCCAACGCGCACGCCGCTTCCGCCGAAACGGTGCGGTAAACGCGTATGGCTCTAACCGCTAATATCCTCTGAGGTCGCCAGAGGCGTGCCCTGTTCTGAGCGGTCAGAGCCGCCGCCCTCACCGGTGCACCGTACAATGCCATTGACAGGACAACCTCCGTGTACAGCCGTCTCGTTGCGACGCTGGGTCCACCCAGATTGGGTGGAAGTCGCCCAAGGGCAGACGCAGCGTCGACCAGCAACTTGACACGACCCTGTACCAACCCGTCTGCCCAGTGTGGTATAGTGGGCTAAAACCTCCTTTCTAAGGAGAGGCCTATGCCCAGCAGTGGATTTTTTTCCGGACATCTAACACACAACGCCATCTAGTTTCAAACTAAGCAGAGCTTGTACTATTTTTTTATCTTTTTTAAAAAAGACAACTCCCGCATTAGAAATATATCCTGTGTCGCGGGGGACTTTACACACATACATGAAACGGACACAAATAACACCCAGACTCAGAACAACAATTTGTGGTTCACACAAAGTGTCGTCCCATGTGGGGTTTGAACCCACAACACTCGACGCAGTAGAAAGCGGCGTGGTGACCGCTTAAACCACTACGCCATCCGTGCAGTCAAACACTTACCGAAAGAACACTTCTACACAGCTATTGTTACATTTTCAAAATGAATTTTTAGCTTTTTTGTCGCTGGGTCCGATCCTCACATGGGACCACCCATGTGGGGATCGGACCCACAACACTCAGCGTAGTAGTGAGCGGCGTGGCGACCGCTTAAATCACTACGCCATCCGTGCAGTCAAACTAGATTGACTCATAGAATACTTATATACTTACTATAGAGGCTGTTGATAGAGAGAATACCACATACGGTTTTATACTTGTTAATGTTTTGTAGAGTTGATGCTTGTTAGATAGTTCACCTACACTGAAGAAATTCTTCTGATTTTGTACCATGCCTTTTCCCATTCTTTCTGGTGTAACGCAGAGGTCGCAACCAAACCTTTTAGGTTTGGATCCCATTAATACACATTTATGGATGATTGATGTCTGTTTTGCCAGATGCCATTATATTCGGGCAAACTGGGGGTTCATGGCGCATAGTATGCAATGCCGAAGGGTTAGTCATCTCAAGGCCAAATCTCATAATAAAAGTTGGGTCTCAATTCAGTTCCGATCAACTTCCGATCTCACAACTGTCATAAAAAGTTATCATTACAAAAGTGACTAATCTCTAGAAAGAGACAAAGTGACTGTGCGGCCAATACAGTCTCTTTTTTGCAAGCATTAATATTAAAATAGATAAATAATTGTTTTTTTTAAGTAACAACAAGTTAAGCTATTTTTTTAACTTAAACATAATTTAAAATAGAAACACTTGATATTCATCTTACTTATTTGTAAACTTACCCGGTGACGTAAACCAATCAGAATACTAGAAAGAGACAACTACTGGCCGCACATTCGCTTTGTCTCTTTCATACTTTTCGGTCTGAATTCACTGACTAAGGAACGCGCAGTCTATTCTCTGTCTACGTACTGAATCAACAGATTAGCAACACGTTTTGTACAATTATTTTTAATATATAATGTTTGGAACTTACTGTGGAAATCAAGTCTCAGTCAATCAAGTTTCAGTTTATTCTAAAGACACGAGGAGGTTCTCGACAATGTCAATAAATCTAGTAAAATTGGTTTTTATTTTTTGTAAACAAATTAATCACAGAATTACTCGTATATGGTTAGTTCGCAAGCAAAGGAATCGTTAGTAATAAAACACAATGTACTAACTGAACATTTTAATATAAATATATGTGTAGGATGGATTATTTAGGTATGTACTTGAGCAGTTTGATCTCGTGCGTGAGCCAGATGGCGAGCGACAGCAGCACGAGCGAGCCCGACTGGTGCGAGGCGGCCAGCGCCGTCGGGACGTACTGCAGCAGCGTCAGGATGCCCAGACCCACCTGCACACGACACTTATAGTACACTCACTCACTCTTACACCCCCAAAGGGGGAGGCAGAAGCGTATTTTAACTTGAAAAAGAATACTCCTTATATGAATGGCTTGGTGAAGGCAATACCTGTAATGTCATCTCGGATTGTGTTACAGAGGACCTTCAGACTAGGTTTTCTTGAGAAACTTCCTATTAGCTCTTATAGAGGGTCCTACTAGGGTTTGTAGGACTTCATACTAAGTGTTCTAGAGAGACTTTAATAGTAGGTGTTTTAACGGGATATCGTAGTAAATATTCTACAGGGACTTCATGCAAAGTGGATTCGGGATTTATTGTTTGAGGAACTAAGCCTTCTAGAGGCATTACGGACCAGGTGTTTTAGAGAGACTCAAAACTAAGTGTTTACTCGTCATTCATTACATACGTGGCTGAAAAGGGGACATAAAAGAATTCATGAATGAAGTCGTCACCTGTAACCATGCCACAGCGCCGACCCCGTTGACGAGTCTCCTGGCGGCGGGAGACAGCGGCCGGCCCCGACCCACCAGCCACAGCGTGGTGGCCAGCGCTAACGTGGTTGTGCCCAAAATGCGGTGATCGAATTGGACCGTGGTGGGGTTTTCAGTCAAATTACGCAGTTTTGGTGAAAACGCCAGGATGTCGTCAGGAATCCAGTGATCGCCCATCTTTGGAAAGGAGTTGTAGACGAGCCCTGCGTCGAGCCCGGCGACGAAGGCGCCTGGCAAGAATTATTTTGATTGTTTATTTTGCCTCATTATAATAATTCTAAAAAACGATAGTAGAGTAATCCACCGCTCACCTGAAACCGCAGTCAGAAACGCCATAGCCTTAACGGAATGCGCAAACGCTGTAACCCCCTTCAAATCCTTCAATTTACTAAGCGTCCCCGGCGGGAAGGGGCGGAGCACCCGCAGGGCTCCGGCTAGCAGCCCCGTGTACAGGATGAACGCCAACGACAGATGCGCCGCCAACCGGTACTGAGATACTCTCGGGACGTCCGACGGGCCTTGGAAGCGATCTTCCAGCCCAGATTTGACCATGTACCAGCCCATTAGACCCTAGAATTTACCAATAATTTAGCTAATATAATAAAGTTGAAGAGATTTTTGTTTTATTAAAGGCGGTAATTTCTACAACTAAACGGCAAAAAAACAAATATATTGTTCATCATTTAATACCTAATAATTTATGAATGAGGTAAATGTTTTCAGGTATCAGAATTTCATTTTACCTGAGCAGCCACGAGAGCACAGTAGACCCCGACCCGAGCCTTCATGCCCTTGTCGAGGTACCCTTTCGCCCAGAAAAAGGCGGCCGGCAGGAACACGCACGCGCCTATCGCCCGGCCCCAGGTTCGGTGCGCGAACTCCATGTACCATATCCACTTGAACTCTGACAGGGTCATGCTTTGGTTCTTGCTGACGAGTTCAGAGAGGAATATCACGTTTATTAAATATCTGAATGTTCCAGAAAAATTAGAACACTCCAGAATGTCAAACAAAAGAAGTCGAGTCAGTTATCACGAGATTTATCAGGAAAATTCATGAATCTTCTGAAAATTCTTATGAGATAAACCCGAAAAATAGAAATAAAGACAGGATCTTATGTTGGCACATTCTAGTTCTGCGATACAGCTGGCAAACAAGTACAAAGAATAGCGAACAGTACATGCAAAGAATATTTCTCGCAAAATACATTATACAGGATTTGGCGCGATCACGTAACAGCAACGGACCGGACCACGTTGACGTCGTCCTGCTGTTGGGACATTCAAAGTATTCAAAACTTATTACGTGATCACGTTAATACCCGTATATTTATGTCCATAATCAAATGTCATGGTAAGCGGAAGTTTACAAGTAGATAGTTTTTGCAACCGAGGAAAAAAGAAAAAGAGTGAGGTCCTTCCTAAAAGGCCGGCAACGCGTTTGTGACTCCTGAGTTGCAGACGTTCATGGGCGGCGATAGTCACTTACCATCAGGTGACCCGTCTGCTCCCTCTAACATAAATAAAAAATACCAGCGCATTTGGAATTGGAAATGCAGAGAGAAAGAGAATGGATAAATATTCACATATATTTTTTTACGACGTCAATTCCATTTCAGTGTTTTAAGGGGAAATTTCATGACATTTTATAATGCCTTACCTTATTAAACTTATCAAATAAGAAACTATTGGTATCTTTATCCATTATTATTGATAATATACAACACTTTGTCCGTATGGTGACGGATTAAGAATAATTTGGGACTTAAGAATAAAATGGCAAAATTGTATAGATAATTTGGGCCAAAAAAAAAAAAAAACCTTTGTAATATTTTCATACTAATAAGATCATGTTGAGGAACGGGCGGTGTGGTGACGGATTAAGAATACGCCGTGCCACTAGCCCTATTCATCCTGTGGGTGTCAGAACCGACTAAGGGTGCAAAATAAGCAGGACAACAGCATTGCAAGGAGAAGGAAAATTTGAAACAAACGCTATACCGACCCGTCTGCCCAGCGTGGTATAGTAGGCTAAAACCTCCTTTCTAATAAGAGGCCTATGCCCAGCAGAGGTTTATTGAAGGCTGTTGATATGTGTGTGATATGATGCTCACTGCGTGTAAGTATAAATCGTGTGTTTTTATCAATTTATTGTAAGCTATAAAGGAAAACTAAAGGTACACAATGCCTGACTTCAAATACCTATAAATTGATGTAGTGGGCTATTAGAGGCTGTGGATGATGATCATGGTACTCTGTGCTATAATACTAGCACTACCGCCATATTCAGAGATACTGTCAGTTTGTTAGTGGAGTTGTAGCTCAGATAACTCAGTAACTTAGAAGTTAATTAAAATTATTATTTTTGTGTGTGTATATGTAGTAGTAGTTGACGGGCCTGTTGGTCTTGTGGTAAACCGGAGGTCGTGGGTTCGATTACCACCCAGGACAAATATTGTGTGATGAGCACGGTCATTTGTTCTGTGTCTGGGTGTAATTTATCTACATATGTATACATTTAAAAATATATAAGTATGTTTATCAGCAGTCTGGTTGCCATAGTACAGGCTCTGCCTAGTTTGGGATCAAAAGGCCGTGTGTGAGATGTGCGAGATATATTATATGATTATAACAATTTTCTACGAGAAATTAAAAGGAGTATTGTTTAGTACAGCATTGTTTTTAAATTGTTAAAGTTCTCTTTGCTGTCAAATATACTTACTATATAAATTCAGGAAACTGTTGATACTTCTCGAATTCCTTTTGCCACTCCTCCTCAGAGCGAGGCATCTTCTCCCCCAGGAGCTTCCACGTCACCATCGATAATCCTGACTCTGTGAGCCTAGTCACACCACCTGCATATCACCACACGGAGAATTAGGCATATTTGTATTCCATCTTTAGTGAAAAAGACTGCTGGGATTTTACATTACATAAGACCAATAACACTTTTTAATTTAGTACCAAACACTCGTATTGACAAAGTTTCTAGGACACAAGGTCTTTTGGCCTAAAAAGTTGATTATTTTTTAGTCAATTCAAAAATATTATCAAACCAAGATTTCTCATTTTGTATTTTTGATAAACTTGAAATTTCTATAATATAAAGTTGCTTGATTAAATGAATTTACCTACATACAGTTAAGTGTATAGATCTTTTTAAAACACAATATTTTGGTAATAATTTTAGTGAAAAAAGCAAAATGACAAACAAATCTAAAAAAATCAACATGTTCTTTTTTCTGTCTGTTACCCAAGTCATAATCGTTTAGATTATTGTATTTTTTATTTAAAATATACGTTGTGTATTTAAAATGGGACATAGTATTTTTTGTTCCACAAGACTAACTGGTAGATGTCTATATAGTAAAAATATAAATATACTAAAGAAATGAAACGAACAAACTTTCATTTCAGTGTCTTTATTGCTTTTGAACAACCTTATTTTTAAATAAAAGTTGTAATGTAAAATTATCTACAACAATTTTGAGTATAGCTTCTTAAAAACCTATTTACAAGTAAATCTGGTACCAAAGTATTAATATTTTTTTAAATATTCTTAAACTTCCTTAAATATAGGTATTATTCTATTTATTCCAACTTTATCGGCCCCATGTATCTCCTAACACCAGAACCATAAAAACAATCTACCTATAAAATTATTTTACAATAATTAACAAAAAAGAAACAGCCAGAAATTAAATAAATTACATCGAAAAATAAGAATGTCCATTGTCTATGTCCAAGATTCATGAAGATAAGAGTTAAATCAATTTTCGAGACTACCAATTTTTCATTTATATGACCACAGAGTGCAGTAGGTAATAGACCTTATCTTTTTGTAACAAAACAAATTCGCTTACGTCTAATCACGCCACGAATCCTCAGCCTGCACAGCGTAATATATGTTGTGTACATTTAATCAATCACTCTCTGTACTTATAATATTATTTTGTTAAATGACGTAACATTGAATTCTTTTAACATTAAGTATCTACATGCAAATCAGTCCACAGTCACCGTAATTCAGAACCCTAGATACTATTTTTACTTTATAAATAATAACAAATTTATGACAAAAATAAATATTTCTACAACTCAAGTGTTTTTATGACACGCCGTGTGTATTTACATAATTATACATATATAATCTGTCATAATCCCCAGTACTTTTATATCATAATATTTATGACACAAATAAAAAAATATAATCTGTATTCGACAAACTGAAATGCCTACCTACCTATTTGTCTTTGGTAGTTTTCATAACCAAATGAATCACATAATATATACTGTAGAGGAGTATGATATAGCCAGCGATCATACCTAGAACGACAGCTGTGAACACCATGCCGGAGCAGCCCAGGAGCCAGTAGCCCACCAGTTTGGAGCGCTTGGGCTTTGGCGCAGATGAACAGAAGCGGACCAGCAGGCCATTTGATTTGATTTTCTCGCTTAGCTGTAGAAGATATTGTCTTGCATCATTACATATACATATAAAATAAAAAAAAACAGTGTAGCCATAGCCATCTTTTTTTTAATATTATTAACAAGACGACTCCCGCATTTAGAAAACATTCTGTGTCGCGGGGGACTTTACAAACATACATGAAACGGAAACAAAGAACACCCAGACGGGACGACACTTTGTGTGATCCACAAAATGTTGTTCTGAACAACATTTTGTGGAACACACAAAGTGTCGTCCCATGTGGGGATCGGACCCACAACACTCAGCGTAGTAGTAAGCGGCGTGGCGACCGCTTAAACCACTACGCCATCCGTGCAGTCATAGCCATGGGAGCCGATCGGAATGATGCCACGACCTCACAGAAAATTCAGTGTTAAGCATTCTAATGACTGTAGTTGCCAGGACCAGAAAGACGCCACCCTCCCCTTACTTTAATTGGAGAAACTCTTAGGGCGTCAAAGTACTTGCACACCAAACCAGTTCCGCGACCTTCATCAACTGACGGGCGAGGGCTGCTCGCCACGGGCCGACACTCACTCAAGAAAGGTCCACACGTGAGCATCACATTGAAATTATTATTTTATGTAAAATACATTAGATACAGTCTTCTACGTATTTATTTTTTCATTTTTACAACATCCAAAACACACATACAATCAAGCACACCAGCCACACAACTTACCATCAGGATCAGATGATCTGTCTGTTTGATTGGCCTTCTATACCATAAAAAAAATAGCAGTATATTAAAAAATATCAATAGCTTTTCCAGAATATCCCTAAACTATTTAGTTTTGTATACACATACAAACACTCAGACCGTTACAAAAAAGTATATAGGTATTCTATCAGTCAATCTAGCATTCATAGTACAAGCTCTGCTTAGTTTAAAACTAGATGGCGTTGTATCAGATGTCCGAAAACATATATTGTAATTCGAAAGGCGTATTAAAGGCCTGGGTATATTACAATTAAAAATTAAGCCCATAGGGGCCCAGTGGGAACTGATTCTTTCTTAGGTATTATTTTATTTAGACATGCATACATTAAGGTGGGGATAGTAACTTCTTTAATTCCTTCGCTTTTTGTAATTTCAGTAATCTACACTGTTATTCATTTAATGGATATCATTATCAAATGCACAACTTACTTTTGAGGCCATTGTAGTATACTTTATTACTGGGGTGATAAATCAAAGTGGATACATTAATTCCAAGATATTACATAATAGGATTAGAGATTTTTTTACATGTTGTAATAGTACAATCTGTTGGCCAAGATTATAATAACCATAGCGAGGTAGAAAGCATGCAAGACGGGCTAAACCACAAAAAGGGTGACAAATGCATGTTCTAAAAGAAAGCAGGTTGAAAAATCCCTGAACCTGACTAGGTAATAAAAAAACTTCCCTAGCTAGCTATATATATATATATATATATATATATATATGTCTGTTACTACATACCCAAACATGTCTAGTGTCATCTCTCTAAAAAACTTCAAAATAAAAAATTGGTTGAATTCCTTTTCATTCCCCTCTGCTATTCAGAGAGCAAGCAGATTCGTCACCTGTCATTTGTGACTCGGTGACAATCAGGTGATATTTGTAACCCTTGAGTGGTAGCTATCCATGACTAATAAGACTCAAAAGTCACAAATATGTTGCCACCAATTGAAGCACTCCTCTCCCACAGCAAAATTATATGTCAACTCACCCTTAATCCTTTCCAACTGTTTGCTTTACTATGTTTAGTTTGAGTGATAAGTTGTCTGCTGACTAGACTAGTAGAATTAAAGCTGTTTCGCATGCCAGAAACTTGCGATAGAGAGAGCTTGCCCTGAGCTGCCCGCAGCGACTGAGTGCAGCGACAAAGGTGTAGGACACCCCACATTTCTGAAAAATATGCAAATATAAATAAATTAGTAAGTATAATTCTAGCCTAGATTTGTACCAAAATAGTGAATGACCAATAACTGTGTAAAAGTTTTAGATTAGAATCTGTTTATAAATATGTGATTTAATTTTATTTACTTATTTAAATATAAATCTGATTATTTCAGAAGGCAATATACAGATATTTCCGAAACAATCAGAACACTTAACAGACCAGTATGTAATACAAATTGAAGAACAAGATACTAAAAAAAATTGCAACATGCAAGTGTACCAAGCTGAGTATCTTCAATTAGTTCAGATATTATGTAATGCTGAATAAAAGTGCTATGTATTGAATACATAATAATCACTGCACACATCTCACACTCACAGTCTTAATCCCTAACTAGGCAGAGCCTGTATTATGGTTGCCAGACTACTGATAAACATAACAAAATATTTCAGTATTTCTTTATTTTACATGACACCAGAGCTACTTTATTTATGTTAAAAAATACGAGATGCAACAATTCAACAGTGAGACAGCAACATTATAAAGCTGTAAATCATTATAACAAACATTATTACCAAAGACCAGTGTTATGGCGTAAGTGCAAACTAAGTGCATCTGTGTAGTTGGAAAGATGTTATGTGTAATTGTATTATTATTTGAAGAGTCTGAGTAAATATTTTTTACAGTTTCGCTGCTTTTTTATTATCTACAAACATAAACAAACAACCTTTTTTATATCAACTTTAAAAGACTACAGTAGAATAACAAAAACAGTACAAATAATTAAATAAGATTTTGTATACAATGCTTTTAAAAGAAAATGTAGGTTAACACATAAGTTATCAAGGTATCTATTGAAATACGAACTAAAAGCCGCTAAATATTTTTGTGTGGTGTTTTGTTATGAAATGATTCTGTGTGCTGATGAAAATGTGTGCAATAATAATTCTTAAAACTTACTTGTATAAACTTATCCCCAGCCTGATTATATTAAAGTTAAAGGTATTTTTTTTTAAAAACCCTCCTGCCTTTATCAGCACTTATAACTTGGCTAGAATAAATAAATTCTTATCGAATACTTCAAACTTAGTGTTTTCTGCTATTTGCAATAATTTTGAATTAGTGTTGCCATTAGTTTAACTCTTTTGCCTGTAAAATTCGTTTAAATCATCTTACAAAAATAAAGTCGTAAAAACACTAGAGAAATCGAAATTGTGGATTGAAATCATAAATAGAAACAAAGTATAAAACGCATGTATAGACGATTGTATATTGTATAGAAATAAAGTATAAAACGTACGTACGCTTAGATCTTTTAAACTTAGCAACGGATTTTAATGCGGTTTTTACCAATAGAGAGAATGATTTAAGAGAAAGGTTTATATGTATAATATATGCAAATTATATTAGAGAAAAACGATAATTTCAAAGATTTGTCGTAAAAAACCTTACAAGATAGATCAAAAAATGTACTATCGAATTACATTTTGTTAAAAATATCTACAAAAAAGACTGCAGTGATATATGTCGTTCTCCTAAAAATAAGCCACAGAAGGCTTCAATATAAAATTTCTCAAACAAAATCCCTCTTTTTTATTTTTTTTCCGTGCGGAAATCCCCTCGGATACCACCTGTCGGTGGCATGTCGGACTCGAACCGACTAAAACCGCACGCCGTCTCGGGTACTAATAGCCTAGAAAGAAAGTCAAAACAAAATCCCCTATGACTAACTTTCCACAATAGAAAAGAAAATTCTCATGCTTTTGCAATACTGGTGGCTATTACGTGCATTTTTAAATAGATAATAAATTGGATACTAAGTCTTTTGGTTATATGACATTATTTAAAACCAATAGTCCCCTGTTTATGACAACACTATTAATCTATTAATCATGAATTCATGACTGATCTGATCACTCTGATCAGCCAAGTGCTTGGTGATTGGTGCATAAATTATTATTTGACGTGTCATTGAGTTGCGTACTTCATTATTATGACCTAAACACAATTTATGTGTTTATGGCTAGGCACAGTGAGTGTTGATCTACGGTAAACAATGAGACGTCTCGAGTCGCATAAACAGTAGATACTCGAGGAGTAGAAACACCAAATAAGGGTGTGTCATTGTCAAGAATGTCGAGTTTTAACAGGATTCTGAATGAAAAGTATCACTTTTCATACAGAATCCTAGGGAAATACAAGTTAGTTAGTTAGTTAGTACAACAAGTGTCGCGAGCGCGATATGTTTGCGTTCGCAGACCTTGAGCAGTCTTGTCAAATTATAAATCATTAGACTTCTTAATACGAGTAGATCTAAACATTATAGGATGACACACGTGAAGCCATTGTGTTTGTTATTATATTATAAACTATTATCTAATCTATATTATACGGCTGAAGTTTTTTGATAGTTTATTTGTTTGGTTGAACACGCTAATCTCAGGAATTACTGGTTCGAATTAAAAAAATACTTTAGTGTTGGATAGCTTATTTTAGGTAGGAAGGCAACAGGCTATTCAAAATTTCGCTACGACCAGTAGGAGCTGTGAAAAACGTGCTGTGAGCTGCGAAAATGTCCCCTTTTTTTGCAATGTTTTTTTTTTATTCTTTTTGAGAGACGCAGACGAATTTGCGTCAGCTAGTAAAATATAGGTTAATCTATAGGTAAACAGATTTACTGTCGTGTTTATAATATTCACTTGGTATTCTAACGTTCCTATTAGTTTATATGCACTATTGATCCTTTTAAAATTTGTCTTCCCACGTAATACTTAAGAGCACATAGACTACAAATAATGGTCGAAACCGTTTATTTTTATTGACCAAGATTGCTCTTTATGCTGATACTAGTTATGTTCCGCGGGTTCTCTCAAGTAATTTCTTCTCAATATTGCAAAGTACCTTGCTACATACTTTGTCTAGATGAATATACGAACGAGACGAGACGAATATAACTTTAGATCGGAGATAGAGGAGATCGGAACTGAATTTTTTCACCGATTTTTTATTACGAGAGTTGGCCTTCTGTACCCCTGACAATGAGATACAAAATTTCATGGCGATTGTGGCGCAGTTAAGATGTAAAAACAAACAAAAATAAGCGAGCCTTACAGTAGTTGCATATTATGTGTAAAATAACTTTTTTTGGGGTCTTATCATTTAGGGGTATGAAAAATAGATGTTGGCCGATGCTCAGACCTAGCCGATATGCACACAAAATTTCATAAAAATCGGTCCAGGCGTTCGGAGGAGTTTGGTAACAAACACCACGACACGAGAATTTTAAATATTATACTAGCTGACCCGGCAAACGTTGTTTTGCCATATACATTATTTGAAAAAAATATGTCAAGAAAAAAAAAATAGGGGTATGAAAAATAGATCTTGGCCGATTCTCAGACCTACCCGATTGTAGATTGCAACCACAATGTGCTACTACGAAGAGTGGCAGGGTAGAGCTCATTTGATTTAAAAAATATTTCGGAAAACTAACACACAACGCCGCATCTAGTTGCACTATGAAAGTTGGAGAGGTAAAGGTAGAGACTCATAGAATACTTATATACTTTTTTTGTTAATTCATAGGTACAAAGATATTTTACAAAGAAACCACCCAAACTCCGAAATCATGTCATCAAATCTATTAGCGCTCCCTGGTACATACTTCCATCTTTTTTCTCTCTTCTGTCTTACAAGAAAGTGAGAGGAAAGATGTTACACGTCAAAATAAACACACACACACAACGCTATCACTTTATTTTATTTTAAATTATTTTTGGCTATGCTAAGGCACTTGTGTTTTACTTTGAGCAGATTAAAATCAAGGTTTGCGTATGACAGAAACTTGTTTTCAAAGAAATGAGAGTCATTTATCTGTATATTGTGCTTCTGAGGTGAGTTCCAGTGAATTATCTAAAAAAAAGAAAATAACTTGAGAAAAAAACATTTTTTTAAATAAAATCTTAAGAATAAGAGACTAATAATATAATTAAATCAATTATATTTCAAACCCCAGAAAATGTAAATAAAACAAATCTATTTAACGTGATATCCATGATATCAATGACTACCGTGGGAGAGCCATCCTTCTGCACGAATGGGCCGGCATGATCGGAGTGATACCATGGCCTCACAGAAAACCGATGTTAAGCAATTCTTTCGTTGCCTTTCACTGAGTGTGTGAGGTTATCGGAGCCCAAAACCGCCCCTCCCGCTGACTCGAGCGGGAGGGACTCCAAAGGCAACAACGCACCTGTGACTTTTGAGTTGCAGGTGTTTATGGGCAGTGGTAGTTGCTTACCATTAGGTGACCGTCTGCTCGTTTGCTCCCTTATACTATAAAAAATAAAGACAAATCTAATTTGATTAAAAATATAGTACCACCTACACAATAACAGTAAAAAGGTAACAGAGTGGTAAAGCCACTAACTTAAATTACTGCCATACATTATGTACTGAAAATATTTTTTATGAAAATTCTGGAAAAATGAGCTGATGGGTTACCTGATACTAAGTGAGTACCGCCGCCCATTGAAACATACGCAAGAAACACAAGCGTGTTGCCACCCAGAGAAGGCCTTCCCCCCTCCAACTTATTGGAGGGTCGGAAGGGGCACTTGTTGGGGGGCTAGGGTGGGGCAATAGGCAATATAGTGAAGCAGATTGTGGTGAAAAACAGCAACAAAATAATTGCTTGACACCACTCTTCTGTGAGGCCGTGGTATCTCTCCGGTCGAGCCTAGGCTATTTGAGCCAAAGCATGACTCTCCATGAGTGTAAGGGTAAAGGGTACCATCAATAATAAGCTCAAATCCTGACCAGAACGGCGGATAATAACATGAACTTGGCAATGTACTATGACTTTTATAGTGTTAAGTACCATTTTATGTATTTTGTCTTAGAAGTTACTTATTGTCTGAAATGGAAAGAATATTTTTTCCATTTCCAACATAGTAGTCTATTCACCTTCACGTTTTTTATATCATCTCCATAACACTGCTTCGCCATCGAGCCCACAGACAATTGAATGTTGTACAAGCAACTTATGTTATACACTAAATTCGGATAGCTCTTTATAACTGCATTGATGATATCCTGCTCGCCAAGTTTTGTCTCTTTCAGCTTGTCGATGTTATCGATAACTGCGTCATACCAGAGGCGGGTCCAATCGATGTTTCGGCGTATTTTGTCCAAGTCTAGTAGAATTACACCCATGTTGTAACCTCTGCCTACCGCTGGCCAGCGTGCGTCACTACCGTTATACCAGTTGCTTTCATTCTCTACTAAACCAATCAACTGAAAAATATTATTCAGGCTTATATAAATAATAATAATATAAATTACAATTACAGTGACATCTAACATATTTTTTGAGGCCTAAATTGGTATTCTGATTTGAGCTTCATCAAAGGTATAGTCAAGATTTAAGAGCAACACGTGTGGTAACCTTTGAAATGCTTTTGTGCTTCTCTAAGATTGGCCGTTTGCCAATCACTTATAACCAATGATATCATATACAAAAAAGAGATAGACATGCCACCAACGCACAAAACACGTGCTGTGAATCGGTCCTAATTGGGAGTTAGTGCCACTGCGAGCGAGCACACTTACAGCGCACAGCGCAAATGCTGCTTCCTGTGTATTCCGAAAGTGCACAAACTATAAAAAAGGTAAATAAAGATAAAGAAATCTTATACCACACATTTTGTGCGTGCAGTATGAATAAAGCGTCTTACTTAAAATATCATTGCTTATAACATGTATGTTTTATTACCTTGTCATCAGTAATATTATTAAACATATTCCATAGTTCTGCTACATCACATAGAAAGATCAGATCAGAGTCTAGCACAATGACCTTTTTCAGGGAAATGGGCAAGATATCTGGGAACAGGAGTTTTATTAAGCCAAATACGCCTGAATAGTGGGTGTTGGGTACCCAGTCAATTTCAGAGACCCTATCCTCCGCATTGTAGCATGTGTATTTCACTGCAAGTAACAAAACACTAGTTGTTAAATTTTTATACTTACTGTTGGCGAATTTTTGGTTACTTGTGAGTAAGGAAGATAAAAATTAACCCATAAATTGAGACACTGTGTCAAAAGCATCGATGCAAATCGTCATCTACGGAATATCTCGTCAAAAAACTATTTACAATTTCACTCGAAATGACCATTGTTGAAAATATGCACTTTTCTAGGCTTGTCATCGTCGAGAAATACGCTGAGTAGAACATATTGGCCGTCACTCACACTAAACTAAATATGTCATAATCATTACTAACCATCGGGCACGTCCCATCTTTCAAAAATTTTACGAATACCACGTTGCGTCTTACTGTTTACTACGATATGGAAGTGTAACGGGTTTTGACGGTGATGCAGTAAAGACTTCAGCATAGGTATTATTAGACCGTTGCCCCTGCCCATACAGACTATTGCAATGTCAAATGTTACACAAGCTGTATCTACTACTCCTGAAATCTGAAAAAAGAGTTCGTTAAACGACTTGTGATCGAAAATTAATCATCTACAAACAGTACAGAGCATAAGTTCATGTTCTAAAATTCTTAATACACTTTTGAAAAATTTTTTTTCAACAATATGCATATCGTTCTAGATTAATTAATAGTACAACAGAAGGATTTCTTGAACAAACATTCGCAATACGTTTTCTCCTTTTACATTTCTTTTGGATCGATTGATTTCGATCGATTGAATGATTTTATCGATTTATCAACCAGTATTCTCCATGTAGGTATTATGTTTATAAACTTCTAACAGTGTTCGAGTGGTGTAGGTCATAAATAGCAAAATGTGTTACACGAGGATTAAAGTACCTTGGCGCTTTTGTTTTGTTCGACATAAAAGATTTAGTTAAACAAACACAAAAAATACATACAACAGAATCTTCATTATTTTGTAACAACGCCTTGTTCTGCATCCTCGATGTGAGCCACCAAAATACCGCCAAAGCAACTACAGATGTGACAAGGGCAGCCCCTACTTGCGATAGAAAAACTAGAGTAAGAAACACCTTCTTTAGTTTAATAGCCATCGCGACTCTGTTAGGTGCTGCGTTGAAGCTAACCGACACCAAGTAGACACTGATTGGCTAAGGTGCATGTCATGTAGTAACTTAACAGACATTTTAACCGTTGATAAATGTTATAAGAAATTAAATATCATTGTCCTAACTGGAGGCAGCATATTGACAGTCATTTTCGATGATTACCATTCTTTCATAAACTACGATTGAAACGTCTATAGATTTGTGTTACAAAAGAGGTTTTTATTATCTACTGCGTTCACACTTTAAAAATTGTGAAATGAAATGAAATGAAGGAATATTGGATCGAATTGTGACATGTGATGAAAAGTGGATTGTTTACGATAACCGTAAGCGAAAAATAGCTGGCAATGGCTGACCCCAGGTCAAACGCCGCAATAGTGCCCTAAAGCAAAGCTTATCAATAAAAAGGTAATGGTAACTGTTTGGTGGTCTCTTCATGGTGCTATTCACTATAGCTTTCTCAGGTCTAGTCAGGCAATAACAGCAGATGTTTACTGTGCCGAACTTCGAACAATGATGGAGAAACTGGCCGTGAAACATCCCCTACTCGTGAATCGATCTTCACCATTATTGCTCCATGATAACGCATGACCACGAGAAACCGTTGTAACTCTACGGAGCTGCAGTTAGAAACCACACGTCATCCTCCGTGCTTGCCAGACCTTGCTTTAACGGACTACTATTTTTTCGTGATTTGGACAATTTTCTACGTGATAAAAAACATTATTTCCAGGAGGCTTTACAAAATGCTTTCACACAGTTTGTGATCCCTGAGCTCTATCGTAAAGGCATAAATTAACTTTTGTTTAGATGGCAGCAATGTGTAGATAATAAGGGCAAATATTTTAATCAAATAAATATGTTACATTTTAGACAACATGTTACAACTTGGTAAAAAGTAACAAAATAAAGTCTCTTGTTTCATGTCATTGATTCTTGGAAATTCCCGCACTCAAGTTTGTATGTAGATATTTTTTATAATATGTAAATTAAAACCGTTAATCCTACATGTCTTAAAAAAATATATGAAAACAAATTAAATTAATCGAATTTACCTTAAAAACATAAATTCAGGTTACACAGGAACAAAACATATCCCAAATTTAGTTTATAAAAAACTTAAATTCTTTATTAAAATTTGTTTGTTGATTAACTTTCAAATTATTTTAATTATTTTATAAATACACAAGCAACAGAAATGTACCTAGAATATCCCTAATTAGGTGTAGTAACTTCGTGTCACTGCCGAATCAGGGATATTCTAGGTACATACCTAGAGATTTTCTATTAATGTATAATTTCAATCAATAATATTTAAATTAGGTACTTTTTTTCATAAAAAGCAAAACCAACCAAATAACATACTAACACGAACCCTTTACCTTAGTGTAGCACTAGCCGTTGCCCGGAGTTTTACCCGAATTTGAAGTTATGGCTTTGTCGAACAAACTTATTGGAGTGGTCTCTAGTCCATTTAACCTCAAAATCACACATGAACAATGAAAAGAAGATATTCGTAACATGTTTTCTTGGGATTAAATCCAAGACTAGTACAGTTTTTCCACTGGTAAGCCACCTACACAAATGACACCTCTGGTTTTGCGACTAATTTTAGAAAAGAAATAAAATACCGATTTTAAACGTAAACAATTTATTTATTGCTTTTCATCCCTCAACTTCTTTGTAGTCGTTGGATAATGCTTTGATATTTCGGAGGGCAGTCTGGAATTCACCTTCTTCGAGGCCTTCTCCAACAAAATGGTGTACAAAGGCGCGTTTGGCATACATTAAAGAAAACTTTTTACTAAGTCGCTCCCACGCTGTTCGTATGGCTGAAGTGTTTGACACCATTACGACTGCTCTTTGTAAAGCGGCCAGATCACCACCAGGAACTGTCGCTGGTGGCATATAGTTGACGCCAATCTGTATTGCCAACAGTATGGTATCAATTAAATTAAAGATAAATAAATCCCTCGCGACCTTAGAGTCATTCTGGAAACGCTCTGGAAACAGAGCGGGAATGGTTTTATTAACATGTCTGTTAACATGCTGATTCCAGAGCGTTCCAGCGTTTGCAGACTTTAATTAAAGTGGATATTGTTGGAGAATTTCTGATATCAAAATGTATCCAAAGTAAGTGGATGTATGTTGAAACCATGGTGAATAAGTTTTGAAAACAAAGTCTTTCTCGAGTGATTACATATTGAAACCATATTGTATTCATAGTGAATTCATACTGAAACCAGACTAAAACTATAGTGAATACATGTTGACATTCTGGAAGCAACATGATTACAAAAACTTTTTCATACTGTTTACACAGTGTTTCCAGAGTGAATTTAAGGTCGCGATTGACAATATAGTTCAAACTATAGTAGGTAATATGACCGTATATATTAGGTCACCGTAAAATTGTAAATACTGTTGGATAATAATCTATCTCGCGCGATTGTAAACTGTCGAAAGACTGTGAACCGTAACTTACTGCTTACAATTCAACGCATTATTTTTGGTTAGCTTAGGTTAATAACAGCAGTTCCCGGATCCCTCCTATCACAGACGCAGAGTGGCACACTGTGTGGTTTTAGTCGGTCCGATTCCGACACACCACCCCGCTGCCAGCCCCGGTGGGGTCAAGGTCCGAGGGGGTTTCCACACGTAAAAAAAAGGTTAGGTTTAGACATACTGCCTGTCTACTACAATCAGGGACTTCACTTCGATAGATTATAATCTACCGATTTCTTGCTAGAAATTACCTTGAATCCAGTAGGAGACCATGACACAAATTTAATTGATCTCATTCCTTTTATTTGATTTATTGCAGTATTTATATCATTTGTGTTGACATCCCCTCTGAATAGCAAACAGCATGACATGTACTGTCCAAGTCTTGGGTCACATTTGACCATTTGATTGCTAGGTTCAAAACACTGCATCATTAATTGTTGGGTAGTGTTTGTTTCATGCATTGCTTTGTAAGCTGACACAAATGGTGCAAACGTTATTAAAGGATAATGTATTCTAGGATATGGGATTAAATTGGTTCTGAATTCTACTAGCTGCACGTTTAAGGAACCTTCAAACCTCATTGAAGCCGTCATACACGATGATACCTGAAGAAAGTTAAAATAGGTTGACTTTAGTCAAATTTAAAAAATGTAATCAATTTTAACATCAATTTTAATTCAAATGGTGATGAAATACCTGAGCGATAAGTCTGTTAAGATTTGTGTAAGTTGGACGCGGAACTTCTAATGATCTTGCCAAGATATCATACAGCGCTTCGTTATCAAAAATGAAGGATATATCTTCAGTGTCCATGCAAGCATGCGCCGTAAGCACAGAATTGTATGGTTCAACAATTATTGGTGATATTTTTGGCGCTGGATATATAGAGAACTCAATTTTAGATAATTTCCCATAATCTTTTACTAGACCTTCGAGTAATAAAGCAGTGAATCCAGAGCCAGTTCCCCCTCCATAGGAACGGAAGATTATGAATCCTTGGAGATGATTACACCCTTCAGCCACTAATCTAATTCTGTTAAGCGCTAGATCGAGCATCTCTCGACCGACACCAAAGTAGCCACGTGCAAAATTGCTTGCCGCATCTTCTTTCCCGGTAATCAAGGTATTGGGATGAAACAATTCCCTATATGCCCCCGTTCTTATTTCATCTGAAATTATTTACTGATTAATGTTCTTCATTATAGTCTACATATTCATATTTAAAGATATACTTGCCAATTGGTGTCGGCTCCAAGTCGATCATTACAACCCTAGGCACAACTTTGCCGGCACCTGTTTCGCTGAAAAAGGCTTCATGGCCTGATTCATTGTTTGAGAAGGCTAAAATGCCATCACATCTGATTCCATGCTCAAGACAATAAAGTTCCCAGCACGCATTTGCTATTTGTACCCCGGACTGACCAATGTGTATGTGGATTACTTCTTTCTGAAATAATGACAATGTTTGTTATCGAGAACATATTATATTTTTCTTGGCGAATATTCCATCATCGACAGTGTATTGGTCTACACTCACTATAGCCATTTAAAGGATTTTTTTATTACTAATAATTTTGAATAAAAATAGTTTTGGCCGAACTAATTTATATTTTTCTACATATTACAATGTTTACTTACTAAGTGTCAACATGTTCGCTATGAACTTCAGTTTTAGTTTTTTTTTCTTTAAAATCTATGTGGTTGAAGTTAATTTTTTAAATAAGTCAGTGTGTGAAAACCACATACTTCTTAAATAAGTTTAGAAACAGGAAATGCATGTTGAAGCGTCCAAATTGGACAACGTGGCTAAACTTAATTTTAACATCCTATCTCATAAATACATTCCTACTACCTACTTACTTATTAATTTAAGATCCAATGAAAATATTAAATAGTAAAACGCCACTGAGATTTTGTCAGTATTTCTAATTATTCATCCCTTTTTTCTCTGATATTATATGAAGTTTTAAACTAGAACATCAGTAGTAGGACATAATATATACTCCAATTTCTCAATGCATACTTTTTCGAACTAAGGGGAAAATCGAACACTCACGAAAGAAAATGACCAACAGAGGCAATCGACAAAATGTTAGTCGGGTAGTCGATATTATCTCTGTCTGTATCTAAAATCATTCATGATTCATGAGATGTTTCATCAATTTCTTCCGTAAATGTGACTCTACTGTTAAATAAACCCCTCCACCCTCAAAATCTATCTATCTGGTCTAATTTCCTTCTTCTGAATTGAATACCATAAACCAAACATAATAAGAAAAATATTGTTGTTTCTAAAAATTGCCAAACATTTAAAAGTAAAATCATACAGTAACACAAACATAAGTTTATAACTTCTAACCATGGGTATCGAGTTCAAAATTCAAGTTTGGTAATAAACAATAATACTCTTCAATGAAAATGTCAAAGTGAACGTCAATCAAAATGGCATGATGACTTTAGTTTGTTTTCTTTTGCTGCAGTGATGTTTCAAAAGTTTATCTTTATTTGTTATTGTCACTGAAAGGACCAATCACAATTCAATTTACAACTTCTTCTGTGAAGTACAGTAATCGAGAACATACTGATCAGAATACTTTAATCATTAAAATGTAAATACAGTGTTCATTGTTAATATGTTTTCAACTATTATATAACCAGGTTACTGATAACAGTTGTTGTAGTGTACATTCTAGTGTTTGTCAGTCTTGCCTATCGAGATTTAATTTCATTATTTCTAAGTAAGTCAAGATGAATTTCGCCGGCAAAGTTGTAATTGTTACTGGTGCGAGCTCCGGCATTGGAGCTGCGACAGCCGTATTCTTATCTAAGTTAGGAGCCAAGCTATCCCTTACCGGTAGAAACATCGAGAATTTGCAGAAAGTCAGCAAAAACTGCGAAACCAATACGTCTACATTTTCCGTGACTGCGGATTTGACGAAAGAAGCCGACATAGAAAATATTGTCAAGAAAACCGTTGATCATTACGGGCAGATAGATGTTCTTATCAACAATGCGGGAATTATTGAAACTGGTACAATAGAAACCACATCTTTAGCTCAGTATGACCGCCTTATGAATACAAACGTGCGATCAATTTATTACTTAACAATGTTAGCGGTGCCACATTTATTAAAAACTAAAGGCAACATTGTAAATGTATCTAGCGTCAATGGTATAAGATCTTTTCCAGGAGTTCTCGCCTACAACATATCAAAGGCCTCGGTCGATCAGTTCACTAGATGTGTTGCTTTAGAATTGGCTCCGAAGGGTGTCCGGGTAAACTGTGTAAACCCTGGAGTCATTCTTACAGAACTACAAAAGCGTGGCGGTTTAACTGACGAGCAATACTCTGCATTCTTAGAGAGGACAAAGGATACACATGCTCTAGGACGCCCCGGAAAACCAGATGAAGTGGCAGCAACAATTGCTTTTTTGGCTAGTGACTTAGCTAGCAATATAACTGGAGCTAGTCTGCCTGTAGATGGTGGCCGCCACGCCATGTGTCCTCGATAAAAACTAATCATTATTCCTGTGCCAATTTTAAAGTGCCTTATTTTTTGTAAACTTTGATTTTTTTTTTAAGTATATAACTTTCCATGATTGGTTGTAAATATTTTGATACATTTCTTTACAAATTGAATTATATCTATGTTAAGCATAAAGTTTGATACTTTCTAAGCATTTGATAACCATGTTCCATTAAATAATTATTCATTGAGAATTATTGGATTTCAGTCAGTAGGGTTTGACTCTTTGGTTTCATTAATTAATTTCTTTTCATAAGGCCACAAATAGAGCATAATTATAAATAGAGTGTAGCAATCATAGATTGATCAGGAGCCCCAATCTTGCAATAGGATTGGCAATGCGTTTGTGACTCCTGAGGCACAAACGCATTCCATCAGGTGACCCGTCTGCTTGCCTGCCCCCTCTATCAAAAATAAATAAATATAGGCAAGAGCCAAGAGATGGATAATAGATAGTTCCCTCTATCTCTTTCTAGTAGAGTTGTGTTGTTGGCTGGGGAAATTGCTAGTCTCCCACCTGTTCTACAATCAAAACCATGTCTACTTCACAATAGCCAATCGCAGCTTTACTAAACAGAGACAGAGGTAACTATCAGGCTTTCATCTCTCTCGTTGCCTGTATCGCTTTCACTTATAGGCAGCTGTACCCCGTGTTCTCTCTATAGTAGCTATCATTGCAGCAAATGAATCAAAATAAATCCTTAGTTTTTTGTAACTATCACTATTAATGACAACTAAATCATATAACACACACCACTGTTTAAAATAGTGGTCTCCTCTATGATTAACTATTTCTCTATTCTCAAACCCAGTTTTATGACATTCTAACTCTTGTTTACGGCTTAGCTTGCAAAAAAAAAATTTTTTGTTACATTTCCAAAGTACATTTATCTGATGAAAGGTAGAAGTATCCTGTATGTACACCTGATATGATATGATAGATGTGCAGATTGAAAAGTTGAAGTGTTAAATTGTAACAAACACGTTAGTAAAGATTGCCAAAAAATTATCTATCAAAGTTTGGTGATGGTGTAATATGTGGTAGGTATAGGATGTGTCGAGAAAACAACTTCGATCCTCGACATCGCGGTAAGCCGGTGCTTTCAACAATCTGAACCGTTAGCGAACGACGGGGAGGCAGAGAGAAGCGGCGGCACGGGCGCTACGCTACACTACACTCCCGCTACCTACATAGGACTACTTTTAAATCATAATTATAATAATATGATGAAGGTTAAAGTCGCTGCAATTTCACCGGTGATTGTGATTTTGTCTTAGACAAAGATAAATGCCATCAAAATCAATCAAAATTATTTTTATCAACTATTAGGTACACTAACAAGGTGCCGACTCCCATAGTCGTGGGAAACTCTGTCCTCGAAGTTGTTGACGAATATGTCTACCTAGGACAAACGGTCCAATTAGGTAAGTCCAACTTCGAGAAAGAGGTCAATCGTCGAATCCGACTCGGCTGGGCAGCGTTTGGGAAATTAAGAAACGTCTTCACGTCCAAAATACCTCAGTGCCTAAAAACGAAATGCTTCAACCAGTGTGTGTTACCAGTGATGACCTACGGAACTGAGACTTGGTCTCTTACTATGGGCCTAATCAGAAAGCTCAGAGTCGCTCAGCGTGCTATGGAAAGGGCTATGCTTGGCGTTTCCCTGCGTGATCGAATCCGCAACGAGGAGATCCGCATCAGAATAAAGGTGGTCGACATAGCCCAACGGATTAGCGCGCTGAAGTGGCAATAGGCAGGGCACATAGCAAGAAGAACTGACGGCCGATGGGGCAGCAAGGTTCTCCAATGGAGACCACGTACTGGAAAGCGCAGTGTGGGACGACCGCTTACCCGATGGACGGACGGCCTGGTAAAGGTTGCCGGAAACCGTTGGATGCAGGCCGCAATCAACCGTCCCCGCTGGAAATCATTGGGAGAGGCCTATGTCCAGCAGTGGACAAGCATAGGCTGAGGTATAACAAGGTGCATATTAAAAATTTAAAAAAATGAAAAACGAACATTATTTCCACTATATTTTTATTTTCGATCCATTACATACAACTGATATTAATTTAATCTAACCTTAAATAGTTAGGTATCACAATTACTTTTAAAAAGTAAATTTCTAATCTATGTGCACCTATAAACAAATGATCAAAACATTTTGTTGCACACTTATTAAAAATGAGACCTCTATGTAACGTCGTAATTAAAAAAGTAATATGACATAGTTCTGTTATTTACTTTTTAACTATTGATTGGTACATACTAAAGATTGTTTTTATAAGTTGAAGAACTTATAGAAACAATCTTATCTTGTCTTTACAAACTATTTCATAAACAACTAAATAGATAAGAAAGAACTTGATTACAGTTTGTATGTACTTGCTACCAGCAATAAAATGTTGATAAATTAAAATATTTTTGGCGTGGCTAGTCACAACTTAATGAATTCTTAATACATGCATATTGGTCGACGAAGCTAGTACCAGTTTTGTTTATGGTCGGTTGATCAATAAACTACAATCCATAAAAAAATAATTCTGATGCAACAGCTTGAATATTAAATAGCGTAACTCTAAACTGAACACATAATAATATATGTATTTAAAAAAAATTAAACCAAGTGATTGGCATTTTCATTCACTAAAAGACTGCAATGTAAGTGGTATCGGCGGGATTACATTAGTTTATTTTACTTAATTTAAATGTATAAGCTTAACAAGTTTTTTAAAGTTGTATTAAGACCTGTTCCAGATTTGCCTAACATCTCACATGCCCTGCAACGGCCTTCGGTATATTATTGAAGCTATTATTATTACACACATATCCACTAATTTAGTTCTGCGGGTGCAAGACTTAGAAGGTATTATACAACACAGACCACAGACATTATTCGCAATTAATATGATATTTTATCTGATCACAAACAGTCGTAAAATAGTATTTAATTCTGTATACATATTCAAGGCAATAGCAGTTCACTAAGCGGTACGGCCGCAAAGAGTTTTTTGCTTTCGTCGACGCAGGCTTTGATGATTTGTTCGAAGGCGACAGGTGCTATGTCTCTAATCACAGGCTCCCAGTTCTCGTTTATTACTGTAAGGATTGTCTCGGCTACAAGCAGAAAAAAATACATTACAAATCGTAACTAAAAATGATAAACTAATTAATTGTTAGCGTTTATTGTTAGTTCAAGGAGATGCCTATGTCCAGCAGTGGACTAGTAAAGGGCTGTTGATGTAATGATTGTTAGTTGCTGATAAATAACGACAATTTAATGTAGCATGTATTGGAGGTATTTCATGTAAATTCTTTAAGTTTTGATGACGTAATAATATGTATGATGAATAATGGTGATGAAGATGTAAGGTTAAAATGAAGGTTTTAAAAGTGCACATGATTTGATGCATTTTGCACAGATAATACATTTTTTTTATTTTTTAAGCTGATAATGATGTAGATAATTAGGTATATTTTCGAACCATTCAGGGAAGTAACAATTCAGTGAGCGGTGCGCTCTTAAATATGGAATTGACAACTTCAACACATTTTGTGATGATTTGCTTGATGGCAGGGGGCGCAATCTCGTTCATAATGAGCTCCCAATTCTCATTTGTGAATTTTTCTGTAGTTTGCGCTGTAAGTATGTAAGGGTTTTGTTTCAGTGTTAATAGTAATGTAAAATAGTGATAGTAATTTTGTAATATGTACTGGAATGAAATATCATTCGAGTACCTATTTTAGTACCTTTTTAATCGGTACATACAATTATGTCTAAATCTCGGAACCCAGCTACAAGTTAAATTATCCTTTTCTTTTGTGAATTTCTAACGCCTTATAGTAAAAGTTTACACTTTGAAACTGCTTGCTAATATTTTTTTAATTATGTACTTATACCTACCTTACAACCTTGCCTTATATGTTTGCAATTAAGTAGAGACTTATATAAAATCAAATGATTCTCAAGATGAAAAAATACTATAGGTGCTAGAAATGACATCATCTTCAATAAAGTACTTTAAAAATGGATAATAACGAAAAGCTTCAATAGGCAGACCGCTTTTTAGTCTATGGCATTTGAAATTTAAACAAAAGAAAGTCATTTAAATCCGTTCACTATTGCTGGGTTCTGAAATATATATATAAGTACAATTTTAAAGGATTCTACTTATTTAAATACCTATCCTTTTTCATGATTTATTACTTACCAAACTTTCAAAACACAAACTCGTACGTAAAAGCTAGTTTTTATGCTTTTTTTAAATAACATTTCTGACATTTTACATGCAACGCCATCTAGTTTCCAACTAAGCAGATCTTGTACTATGAAAGCTAGATTGACTGATAAAATACTTATATACTTTTTTTGTAAATACCTACATATCATACATAGAAAACGCCCAAACTCCGAAACCAATATTTGCAGAGCATTTTAACATTCGGTCCGACCCGGGATCGAACCCGAGACCGCCACCGAGGCAGCCTCAATGCTTAATAGATCTTACCAAGTTGCTTGTTGCCGTTAAACAAATTGTTAAACTTGAAATAGGCGCGATCCATTTTGAAGTGGTCCTTGTATCCGGTGATGATCCAGTGATCATTGGACTCATTGAAATCATACTTCACCACGATGTTCAAGTTTGCTGGAACGATGGAAAGATAGATTTTCATTACCTAGATATGCCAGACGGTTTAATCTTGACTGTTTTGAATGTCTTGTCTTATAGCTACTACCAGTATAACTTAGACTGTATGGACTTTGGTATTGCGACAGGTCGAAATATACACTAGAGGTTGGACACTGATAGTTTGATGAAGCCGTATTTGATTATTTTTTACTTTATAGCACATATTGTTTAAAAAATGTTAGTTTTGTACCGTTATAATTTATTATATCTTATTTTTTCTTGTAATTAAGTATTCTGTATATTGTATTGCCATCAGCCTATCGCCGCTCTAAGGAGCGCCTGCTAGGTCGGTCTTGGGCAGTCCATATCCGTATTTTTGAAGTTCCGTAAAATTGAGTCAATTAACACTAATGTAAGTAGGAAAACAGATATCTTACTGATTTTGATTTTAGCCTGTCCCTTGCCCTTGATGGAGAGAATCAACAATTTCCCATTCATTTCATACTCAGCATTTAGTGTCACGTTCGCCGTGAAGTCCAACGTCGCTTTTCCTTTCTCTAGGTTTATCCTATAAACAAGAAAAAATATTTATATCCGGCTAATTAGCACACCGTGTGGTGACGGATTAAGAGTACAGAGTGTCACCACCCCTACTCATTCTACGTAGGTTATTATTCATTCTAAGTAAACTACGCAGGACAACAGCACTGCAAAGAGAATGAAATCTTGAAACAAACCCTATACCAACCCGTCTGGCCAGCGTGGTATAGTAGGCCAAAACTTCCTTTTTAAGGAGAGGCCTATGTCCAGCAGGGGAGTAGTAAAGGATGTTGATGATGATGAAAATGTATTAGCACAATGGTAAGTGTAAATAAACAGTTTAGAAATAGCTAATTTCTTATTCTAATAACAAAACAATAATTAATAAAAACATTTGGAAATTACTACTGTCTCTCCAAAACATTTTAATCAATCCTAAGGTTGCCTGGAAGAGATTGCTCTTAGCAATAAGGCCGCCCTTTGTACATTACATGTCTGAGATTTATATGTACCATAACACTTGTAAAATGTGTGCAAATAAAGAGTTATCTATCTATCTATTAATATGTTTTAACAAATAAATAAATTAATTTAAAAACAAATAAATTAAACAAATATTAGTTGTTAAATCAAATAAATAAATGTATTTAAATTTATAAATTGCACTAATAATAATCCTAACCGTCTTAAGTTTTGGAATTAGCATCTAAAATTTTAATTGTAGCAACTAGACAGTAGAGAGACAGTATTTCTAATGATATTATAAGAATATCACGAAACCTTTACATTAAACTCAGTTATTGGGATCATCAGAGCAAAATAGCGTTGACTGTGAGGTGAGTGTTTCGCCTGAAATGAAATCGCTTTTGTTTTTTTATAAATATTTTGCTATTTAAAACCTCCATGCTTCTTTTACCCAGAAAGTCAAATTTGGCTAGACATGTTTTAGGTCTTACATTATGTGAGTCTTTCTTGTTATCATCCACGCATGGTTCTAAACTCAGAGTGATGCAGCCTGCGCCAAGTCCAGGGCCAAGAGAACGAACCCAAGACAAAATTGTGCTACGACCATATGTATGAGTCAGCCTAGAGACCAAAAATAATTACGTAAAACATGAAACCTGACCGTGTTTTATTATAATGAAAACCAATAATTGTTTGTCTATTTTGTTTTATTCTATAAAGTACATATTTTACAATTGTGTCTCGTTTCGTCCTCTTTTCTTTAACTGCCTTTTTTCTTCTTTGTTGGGCCGTGTTGCCATATTCGCCACAGATAATAACATCAATCATAACACCCTATATGTGGTCTAATTCATTAAGTGTTACATATAAGTTGAAACTAGATTATAAAAATACTAACTTATAATTATTGACTCTAAAATCCTTCAAACCGGTAACAATGGTGTCAGTGAACGTGATCTGCAGAGATGGGTTGTTTACCACCACGGTGCCTATCTGGACAGGGTCTAGCTTAGCGATGCCTAACTCCGGAATGCCCTCAGTAAATTTGGCCCCGGAGACTGATATCACCTTCTGCACACATTCGCTAAGCTGAGGATCTGATTTGGAGCATGGTGTGAAAAATGAAGCTGGAAAGAGAAGAAAAAGCATAAATGTAGCTGATTTTAGGTTATTGGTTAATGAATAAAAACAAAACAATATTCAAAATGAACAATAAAATAAAGAAATATCCGCGACTGTAACTGTCGGTAAATGCGAAAGTGTATCTGTTTGTCTGACTTCCTGTCTGTCTGTTTCCTCTTTACGCATAAACTGCTTAACCGATTTAGATTAGAAGGTTTTTATCCCAGAAATCATCCTTTAAGGGGGGGTGAAAGTTTGTATAGGGAGGTAGTTTGATTCTTGATAAATGACATAGGCTAGCAGGCAGCATGGTATAGTAGGCCAAAACGTCCTTTCAGAAGCCAATGTCCAGCAGTGGACTATCATAGGCTGTTGATGTGATGTGGTGTGATCCGACATGCACGCAGGCGGAGTAGCGGGCAAAGGTTAGTAGTAGCAGCTAGTAGTATATTTGAAGGCGAGGAACGCAACAAGCGGGTGCCCTCGATCCAACAGCTTGGTTTGGGTATACCTATGTTATTTTATGTGTAGTTCAAGTATCAACTTGTCACCTTATTGTAACATCAGGTCTTGTTTATAGAACACTTACGTTATGCATGAAAATGTTCTACAAATTCTGTTGAGGGGCTCATTGAGCATGTTGCTGTGAGGAATCTTTATCAATATTTAGCACTCCTTATAGGCAAGTGTCTATCACCATTATTCACTTGCAAATATAAAAGAAGCAAACCTTTTTTTAGTTCTAAACTGTTGAAGCAACATTTAGAACAAGGTCCATCGGATATTAATGCGTTGTTTAATTTATGCGTAGGTACAGATATTGTGTAACTGCAATATGTACACCGTTGCACATCCTTTTATTGCAATCGATACCTTGACACTTCTTTCGACACTATGCTCATGGGAAGTAGGCATGAAGTAATTGTACCGATTGCCTCCAGTTTAAGGTAAAATCATATTGATATGCAAAAATTTTGTACATGATCAAGTAAAAACAAAAATCGTTCAAAACGTAACGTTTGTTTTTTTATGGTTTAGAGGGCTAAAGATAAGACGTCGTTGAATAAAGACGACGTAAAGTCGCCTGATTAAATTGTAACTAGACAAGTGTTGCTAGACTTTGAAGCGGGAATAGACTCTTCGTTATCGGTCTTGTAGCTGAGTTAGGGCAGTTTTTTTTTAAACGCGCGCCGTCATGAAGTTTCAATTAATTATATGATAGGGATGGGCGTTGAACCTGAATAATTTCTCGAAGCACTCGCCAAAGCGATAAAGAATACAGAAATATAAAAGAGAGAAGAGAGAAAAAGTTCTCGAGTTTACGATCTTGAGAGAGAGACTTGAGCTGTTTAAGATACAACAACTAATAAAAATGCTTCAAAGTTTACTTTTATAATAGTTTACCTGTACATTATAACCGATAGTTTAAATAAGAATTGTTCCTTTTATCTTTTCTGTCGCTTTAGATAAATAAAATTAATTCACATAATCAAAGGCCTTTAATAGTCCACAGATGGACATAGGCCTCTCCTTATGGTGAATAGGGGTGGTAAATTATTGTGTGTGGTGGTTTAAATTTGATTAGTTGAGTTTAATTAAACTCAAACTCTCTTTATTTCATAAAAAATCTAAAATTTTTATAATCATCTTTTATGTAGACTAAAGTCATAGATCAACACACACAAAAGCAACTGTGTTGTCAAATAGTAAGCAAATTAATTTAACAAAAATCAAACCCATACAAAATCTATGATATGCCTGTGCCGATCTAAAACCGCCTGTTTCCAAGGGGTTAAGCCTTATGAGAAGAAAGGGCAAACAAACTCATGGCCACTCTTTTGCAATTTACAGATAGATACAATGGCACTATTAAATATACTTATTATTCATAACCTATAATTTCTGATAATGTAATGATACCGAATAATTCACTATTAAACTGTGAATTGCTGCTAATGTTATGGATTTACACACTTAAGCGAGTATTATATATGTATATAATATTTCTTGATTTACTCTGAAGCAACACATGCCTAACTGTGACACAATTACACACTACATTAAAATGATAATTTTAAGAACACGGCGGCAATAAGTGCCTATGCGTAGGTGCATGTTCAGAGGTCATTATTATACCTATGCATTTACGTTATTTTATATATTACTTTCGGCTTATTAAATATATTGTCGGCGTGGTGACGGATTAAAAATACAGAGTGTCACCCCCATTCATCCCGTGGGTGTGGTAAGAGCCGACTAAGGGAGTAAACTACGCAGGACAACAGCACTGCAAAGAGAAGGAAAGCTTGAATCAAACTCCATACCAACCTAGAAGTGGAGAGGCCTATGTCCATCAGTGGACTAGTAAAAGCTGTTGATTATTAAATATATTGCACATAGAGAAATATTTCATGTACAATAAGCACATTGCAACGGGGAAAACTTTAACTGCCTAGAAGTCCTTTAAATGTAGATTCTAAACACTATTATAGAAGAATTTGTTTCAATGTTTCAAATCTTTAGTTCTATCACTCCGATTTCTATACAACTTTCTGAATGAGATGGGATGTGTACTAGAAGGGGTTGAAGGATATATCTACACCTGAACAGTACATATTTTTTGCCTAAACTACTAACTTAAATTCCTCTAAATAATATTGTTAAAGTGTAAGAAATCGTAAATGTATTTTCAGATTTTAAATAAATGACAAAATAATTTTATTTCATCCTTTCGACCTTGGGGAGAGGCATGCTGGGGCATATATAGGCCGGCTAAACCGAGCTGATACCATGACGTCACAGACAATCTCGGTGTTAAGCAATTCTTTTGTTGCTGTGAGTGAGTGAGTGAGGATATGTTTCTTGAGGTGCAGGTGTATATAGACAATGGTAGTCACTTTTCATCAGGCCACCCGTCTGCTCACTTGCCCACAACTTCAAAAAGAACTTCAAGGGATCGCATGGGTACGTACTTAAAATTTATTTATTTATTTATTTATACTTCCTGCAAATACATTGCATAAGGCGGACTTAATGCCATAGGCATTTTCTTCCAGTCAACCTTGGGGTGATGCAGAGATTTGTGTATGGCAGGTATATAATGAGATAAATTATTACAATAAATAAATTGTAGTCGGTTGCAAGATGGATACATATATACATGCAAATATCATTTAAAATTAAAATTAAATTAAAATTAAAATTAATGATATCTAAATACCTACAAGTGTTCCTGAAAGGTCTAAGCAGGTAGCTAGAAACAGACGGAATCGTAAAGATCCTTTTTATTTTTAAGAGTCGGAACCCTAAAAATATATTTATAACTAGCTGACAAGGCAAACGTTGTTTTACCAAATGCATTATTGTTGTATATATTTTTCAATGCTAAGTCATAATAAAAGTAAAAAAAAGTTTAGGGGTGGGTCAGCCTTATCATTTAGGGGTATGAAAAATAGATGTTGACCGATTCTCAGACCTACCTGATATGCACACAAAATGTCATAAAAATCGGTCCAGCAGTTTCGTAGGAGATTGGTAACAAACACCGCGACACGAGATTTTTATATATTAGATTAGTGATTACAATTGTACCCACGGTGTACATATCTGCCAAGATTATTACACCACCCAAAGGTTGGCTGGTAGAGAATGCCCAGTGTATTAAATCCGCCGATAAGTGCATGAAGATGTAAAATAAAAAAAAATTAATAAATAAAAGAGACGTTGCTCGTACGGGTACACTTTACTTTATTGATGGAGTTTTGTCGATAGTTCACGGTTCTGCCTACTTGAACGCTGCTGCAGTCAATTAAATATTTCATCACAATTGGTAGTTAAATATGTGCTTTGTAAAGGACAGCCGGATCAAGTACCTGACGACACTTAGATAAATTTGTCGAAATACAAAATCGTTTTAAATAAGGCACCAGACTTTTTGTATAGCAAGGCCTTGTCTAAATGCGAAATTTGATCCAATTCTTCAGAAGTGTTTACGAGATTCAAATAAAGAACAAATAATTAAAAAATAATTCATTCAGAATTATTTAAAATTATGATTTTGATGAATGAATGAATGAATTAATGTTTTAAAAATATTATATAAACAGACGGAATAGCTGCGAGAGCAATGTAATAATGTTATCTTTAATATTTTAATAACTTCACAGAAACTAGGTAGTGTTTGTACTATGATAACTAGACTTCCGATAAACATGATTATATATTTGTAAATATATACATAGCAGTATTTTTTTTAATAGGACAACGCCCTCATTAGGAATATATCCTTTGTCGCGGGGAACTTTACAAACATACATGAAACGGACACAAAGAACACCCAATCGTCTCATGTGGGAATCAAACCCACAAGACTCAGCGTAGTAGGAAGCGGCGTGGCGACCGCTTAAACCATTAAGCCAACCGTGCATAGAAATGTTGGTCTAGTGGTTAGTGACCCTGACTGCTAAGGCGGAGGTCTTTTGGCCGATTCCCACCCAAGACAAATGTTTGTGTGATGAGATGAGCACGATCGTTTGTTCTGTGTCTGGGTGTAATTTATCTATAATATGTATGTATTTAGAAATATATAAATAAGTTTATCAGCAGTCTGGTTACTATACCACAGGCTCTGCCTAGTTTGGAATCAGACCGCCGTATGTGAGATGTGTGAGGTTATTATTATTTTTAAATGAACGTACAACATCACACAATTATTAATTTGTCTTGGGTTGGTGGGAATCGAACCCACGAACTCGCTGAGCAGTCAGGGTCAGTTATCACTACAACTAAGTCATTTTATTACAAACAAAAGATTTTACAACATTAAAGGAACGTTACAAAACAACAATCTTATAAGAAACTGCACTTTTATAGAAAATATTGAGCATACGATACAAATATCGGTACACTACTGCTACAGTCTACTAAAACAACATTTATTATTTCAGAGAATGTTGCTTAAACCTTAAAAAAACATACAACAATAGGTTTTTAGTACATAAATTAA